CGGGGCCCCGGGAGCTCAGGCCACTCGGCTGGACGCTGCGCCTGCATGGCCCGCTCCGGGAACGCCGTGCCACCCGCCCCGGGCCCAGCGGCCCCTTCGCGGTGCCCGTCCCGGGGGCTCGTGCAGGTCAGGTGGGGGACGGGGCAGTGAGGCCCCTGGCGCTGGCTTAGGCTGAGGGGGCGGGCTGCTGGTGACCCCTGTAAGCAGCCTGGGCAACAACGGGAGCCTTTCTCTGCCCGGCTGGTGAGTCACCATCTGGGGGGCACAGCCGGCTCCCGGGGTGCCAGGGCCAGTCCTTTGTCTGGGCACAGGCCTGGCTGGGCGGCCGGCTGACCGCGGGCGCTGGGGTCCCAGCTGGGAGCCGTGGGAGCCAGCCGAGGGCTTGGCGGGGAGGAGGCAGGAAGTGCCGGGGTGGGTGGGGAGCCAGGAATGCGAGCAATGCCTGGCCACACCCCTGCGCCCCAGCTTTCTGGGCCTCCCCGGCCAGCCTTGGTCCCGCCACAGGCCCTCACTGAGGACCCAGCACCCAAAGTGAGGTTCCTGGACCCCGCTCACAGCGGGTTTCAGTTTGGGGTCAGGAGAACGCGGCCGGAGCCTCAGCGTGTCGGCCAGCGCTCGTCGCTGCTCTCGGGGGGCCTCGGGCCGCCCCCAGGCAGCCGCAGGTGCTGCTGGGCCCTGGGGTCCACCGGGGTCTCAGCACAGCCCCGGAGCAAGAGGCAGCAGCTCTGTCCGCGGCATGCCTCGGGTGAGGTGGTCAGATGGTCTCCGCGGGGTCCTGACGGGGTGTCGGGCGGGCTCTGGGGCTCCGGAAGGGTCCTGGAGTTAGGGCACAGGCTGCCGGGAGGCCACGCCCCGGCGTCAGGGAGGCGGGGGCCAGGCCGCACCTGCTGTGCCTGGAAGGACACGCTCGGCCCCCCTGTGGTGGCCGCCCACGGGAGGCCGGGCCCGGAGGGTGGCGGTGGGGCCGGGCGGCAGGGGTCACAGCCTCAGGCCGGAAGACGTCTGCTGCCCCACCTGGCCAACCCCTGGACCCCGGGGGGCGGGGCGCACCCAGCCCGCACGTCCTCACCTGCACCCATGCTGCACCCGCGCGTCCCTGGAAACCTGAGCTGCGGACCGCCCGCCCGGGCCATGTTTAACTGAGCGCCTGAGCCCGGCGGCCGGGGCCCTGCGGCCAGCTTGGGGCGGGGTCTGGGGCGGCCCCTGCCCGCAGCCCCACCGGGAGCCCCCCTGCAGGATGCCGGAGGTAGGCAGGCAGGCAGGCAGGCAGGCCGGCCCAGAGCCGTGGGCGGGAGGCGGGCACCCCCCAGAGGCCGGCTGCGGGGCGGGGGGCCGCTCCCTCTGGAATGCGAGTAAACGGCAGAGCTGCTGGCCGCAGGCCTGGGCGCGTGTCCTCCGTGGGGGGCGGGGCAGGCCCCACAGCCCTCCTGGGGAGCTGACAGCAGCTCCCCCCCTTACCCCGCCCCCCGCTGACCTCTGCCTGGGGGCCTGGGTCCCCGAGGCCTCTGCTCGAGTCTGCAGACTGGGCTGTGCCGGGCCCTGGTCGGCGCCAAGGGGCCTCCCCTCACACAGGGACCTCGGGGGCACGGGGCCGGCGCTGACCACGTCTGTGTTGTAGGGTGTCAACGGGGCCTCCAGGGAGCTGCGCCCCCGTCTGTGCCACCTGCGGAAGGGCCCCCTGGGCTACGGGTTCAACCTACACAGTGACAAGTCCCGGCCCGGGCAGTACATCCGCTCCGTGGACCCCGGCTCTCCCGCCGCCCACGCCGGCCTCCGTGCCCAGGACCGGCTTGTCGAGGTACCCGCGGGCCTGGGGCGCCCCCATGTCCCCACTCGCCCCCTCCGCCCCCCGCGGGAACTCGAGCCGTGCCGTGGCTGGCGGCGGCATGAATGTTTGATGGGTGCCCGGCGGGGTCGGGGATGCGGCGCCGGGTGCTGACCGCCGCCCGTGGCAGGTGAACGGGCAGAACGTGGAGGGCCTGCGCCACGCGGAGGTGGTGGCCAGCATCAAGGCGCGGGAGGACGAGGCCAGGCTGCTGGTGGTGGACCCCGAGACCGACGAGCACTTCAAGCGGCTGCGGGTCACCCCCACCGAGGAGCACGTGGAAGGTGGGTCCCCGGGGGCTGCGGGGGGCTGGCGCCGGGCAGCCGCTGAGCCGCTGTCCCCACAGGTCCGCTGCCGTCACCGGTCACCAACGGGACCAGCGCTGCACAGGTGAGGGGGGGCAGGACACCATGGGCTGCCTT